GTACTCAGTCTGAAATTACCCAGTAGATAACAATGTAAATATCACCATCTTTCCGTTCTGAGAGCCCACAGGGTGTTCTGAAGGCCGGTCTCCTTTGCATGGGGCTTCACAGAAAAGTAAACTCAGCACAGAGTTCCAATGGTATCCAGTTTTCCTGGATTATTACATCAAAATACATTTTAAAGTAAGAGTTAACACACTCGCTACCAACATTAGTAATACTCTCTGTGATGACTATCCGCGTGACTTAAAGGAATGAGCGACAGGTATCTTGATAAAGAACTGTAATCTCAGCAAAGTGGCCAATCCCAGGAAAGCACCGACCCACAGGGGCACAGCCTTTAGTTCCTACTAAATTACATCCGACCCTTCACACCTTTCCCGGGGAGATGACCCTTCATGCTCAAGGCCTGGAACAGGGAGAGGACCCCAACCTTGGGTCAGGAGGCTGGTTTCCTCCCTCCAGTCCCTCCTTTCCTCTTTTCCTCTTCAGTCAGGCAGGGAAAAAGGAGGGATGAGTTTCTCCCATTGTGGAGGATAGCACAGCAAGTAAAGCATTTGCCTTGCACGTGGCCGACCCAGGTTTGATTCCTCCACCCCTCTTGGAGAGCCTGGCAAGCTACCAAGAGTATCTCACCCACACAGCAAAGCCTGGCAAGCTCCCTGTGACGTATTCAATTTGCCAAAAACAGTAACAAGTCTCACAATTTGTTGTAAGACGGTACTGGTGCCCACTCGAGCAAATCGATGAACAATGGGAGGACAGTAGGACAGTACTACAGTGCTACAGAGTTTCAGAGCAAGATGTCAGCCGGTTAAACTAACTTGCTTGGCTTCTGATTAGTGAATGAACTCTGGTACCGAAAATGGAATCGGAGAAGGGAAACCCAAAAGCCAGACCTCAGAGGCCTTTTATCTGGGCTCAATGTGTACGATCATCACTACTCATCACCTGAACACTGGCCACTAACTTGAACAAAACAAGAAGTGCTTTAGGGGGACTGCGGCTGCTCCCTTTGAGTTTGTAAAAATTAAGTACAAAGACTGTGGTGTGCTTGGGCTGCTTCTGAATACACCTAGCACTCACCGATGAAAAGAAAAGGCCCAGTCTTGAAACCTGGAGCTCACATGTGCATTCAGGAAATCAGTGAGATTCAATGGCCACTGGAATAAAAACGTCCACAGAGCATGGCTACAGAGTTCCCATTGCTACTGCCAAGTGCAGGGTGACAACGTAAACTGAATTCCAGATTTGCCACACTTCAAGTACGAAAGTCATGCCACTGAATGAGAAAAAGGGCGACTCATTTTATATATACATGTAACATTTTTATCACTATGAGAGTAATTATGCACCATTATACATAATTAAGAAATAATTTTTTTTAAAAAGATCCAAGCAGTAAGTTACCCTCACCTACTATCAAAGGAACTACCTAGACTAATTAATGTCTCAGCTAAATTCAATTCCACACCTTAGCAGAATACTATGTCTCATGTCTGCAGGGCCATATTTATATAAAAGAAACCTTCAAAGTTAAAATCCTTAAATACCAAAGCTGTGCTGTATATCCACAACCAAATCACCACCTCTGGGAAGATCTGGATTCTCGAGATGACTTCTTTTTAATTCTTATTGAATCGATTCAATAAAATTAAAAATAAATTAATTACAACTTTAAAAGGGCTGGAGCTATAGCACAGCTGCATGAGGCCAACCCGGGTTCAATTTCTCCATACCTTCCAGAGAGCACGACAAGCTACCGAGAGTATCTCGCCCGCATGGCAGAGCCTGGCAAGCTCCCCGTGACATAGTTGATGTGCCAAACACAGTAACAAGTCTCACAATGGAGACGTTACTGGGTCCGCTGGAGCAAATCAACGAACAACGGGAGGACAGTGATAGTGACAACTTTTTAAATAAGTTATTCATGATTAAGTTTCAAGTATACAATGTTCCCACATCCATACCTTCACCAGTGTCCACACTTCTCTGCACCAGTGTCCCCCGTTCCCTCCCACCCCAGCCTGCCTCAACTAACCAGTCCTTCCCACCCAAAGTGTCCACCCTCCTCCTGAAGTCCAACTCTTGTGTTCTTTGTTTCTACTGCCTTGGGCATTTGTTGCTCCCCCACAATTGTTTCTTTCTATCCCGCACATGAGAGAGATCACTGTGTCTGTCCCTCTCCCTCCAACTAACTCCACTCAGCGTGACACACTCCACCTCCATCCCCGTGGCAGCAAACTGCATGACTCTATCTTTTCTTGGGATTAGGAAAAAAGATTTTTTTAACGCACTTAACATTAGGAATTTGTAGAGTTCTACTGGCGTCTTAACTGAGCTAACAATGACTTATAGGACTGCAAATGTTCACATTTCAGGAGTACAGTACCACTACGCTCTGCCCACAAACAAGTGCTTGATCTCCATATTACTGTCCAAAGAACCCTTCTCAGTTGTGTCACTTCTCCTTCTTCCCCCAAATCCCATCTGGGACGCTCAACCCTACTACTGAGATTTGTTCCATTGGATGTGGGCTGTTTGCTCGCTTTGTTTCTTTGACCGATTAAGATCACCCGGTTGTCTCCTTCTACCTTATTTCACGTAACATCTCCCAGTTTCATCCACATTGGAGCAAAATGCAAGACTCCATCTTTTCTGACAGCCAAGCTGCCTTCCACTGTGTATGGACACCACACTCTGTTAACCCATTGTCTACGGTTGGGCATCTGGGTTGTTTTCTAGAATAAAGATCTACTCTCCAACTCAAGACGATGTGCTGTCACTGTCACTGTCCTCCCATTGTTCATCGATTTGCTCAAGTGGGCCTAGTAACATTGAGAGAATTGTTACTGCGTTTGGCATATCGAATACGTCACAGGTAGCTTGCCAGGCTTTGCCGTGCAGGCGAGATACTCTCGGTAGCTTGCCAGGCTCTCTGAGAGGGGTGGAGAACTAGGGTCGGTCGTGTCGGCCACATGCAAGGCAAATGCCCTACCCGCTGTGCTATCGCTCCAGCCCAAGATGATATGCATATAAGCACAATTTGCCCAAACAATCTAGAAAGAAGCAACAATACAATACATACCTTCCTGGGGCATGTGAAGGCTCAAAGGAAGGAATAAGCAATAAATAATACACGAGGGCCAGGGTGACAGTACAGAGGGTAGGGCATTTGCCTCGCACACGGCCAACCTGGGTATGTCAATTATCTCTCAGTAAAATTGGCAAAAGTGAATAACTACAGGAAAAACTCTCCTCTCATCTGAAAGAACTGGGGTAGTTTGTTGGCCTTTTGGAATTCAGTTTAAGTAAGGAATACTGGAAACTGACAAATACACACTGTGACCCTCTTACTTTAAACCACCTATAAATGTGATTTTTTACTTAGGGAATAAAAATCTGTTGGTTACAATTCCACTATTCCTTTCATAACCCCCCTGCCTCCTCACACACACACCACACTCTGCTCTTTTGTGTTTTAGGGCCACACCTGGCAGTGTTCAGGGCTTACTCCCGGCTCTGTACTCAGGGATCACTCCTGGCAGGGCTTGGGGAACCATATGTGATGCCACGAATTGGACGTGGGTCAGACACACAGACAGAGCAGAGACGCTCCTGTCTAGCTCTCGGACCCCAGTGCATCTTTCCTGACTACAGATTCAGTATCTTTCAAAGAGCAGCAATAACTTCAACAGACAAAACAGTCAGAGAGCAAGTTTCTTCTTACTTTGAAGAGTTCATCCTAATTTTTCACACTTGTACCACTCACCTCAACAGGATCACCAGTGTCAGACAGAACTCATAGTTGTTCTTCTAAAGAACACGCAACTTAGTTTTTGTAGTAGTAACTTCCTATTTCCTACTAATACTACATTTGTTTACAGAACTTTTTTTTTTTTTTTTTTGCTTTTTGGGTCACACCCAGCGATGCTCAGGGGTTATTCCTGGCTCTGCACTCAGGAATCACCCCCCTGGTGGTGCTTGCGGGACCATATGGGATGCCGGGGATTGAACCCAGGTCGGCCGCGTGCAAGGCAAACACCCTACCCGTTATGCTATCGCTCTGGCCTCCAGAACATTCTTATAACAAATAGAGCCTAGCATAAGTTTGGGAACAAATGCAATTAACGCTTAGTAAGCAAACCATTAGACTTGCAAAAAGCACACAGGTCTCTCAGTACGTCCTGACCTCCCCATGGAGCGCTGTACACATCAGTCACTCTGTGTCAGCAAGAAGACAAACAGCACTGATTTGTCCATCTGACTGGCTGATCTGCTGTCAGTTGTCAGATAAGGGGCTCTGCCATAGCACTCGGGTCTCCAGCACAGCAAAGAAAAATGTTCAGGATAGTTTCCCTGTCACATAGAGACAAAGGCTATCTCTTATGTTTCCTTCCCTCATGTTAGAAACGTGATTAAGAGATCAGTGGAGTCACGTACATACACGGATACAGAAATGAGGTGACAGAAAAGAAATTCAGGTGTTTATGCAGAACAAGATTTTAAAAAATCACAAAATTTGACCCTGACGCTAGAAAATCAATGTGTTGTTAAAAGACATTTTAAGCAAATTCCAAAAGTCCCGTCTCAATTTGAAAATAAACCCCAAGAACGATTCCACTTAAAAACATCCCATTAACATGACGAAGTTCTAGGCACCATACCACCATGGTGTAGATATCTGCTTTTCAAAAACGCTGAACTTAGGGGCTGGAGCGATAGCACAGCGGGTAGGGCATTTGCCTTGCACGCGGCCGACCCGGGTTCGATTCCCAGCATCCCATATGGTCCCCTGAGCACCGCCAGGAGTAACTCCTGAGTGCAGAGCCAGGAGTAACCCCTGTGCATCGCTGGGTGTGACCCAAAAAAGCAAAAAATAAATAAATAAATAAATAAATAAAAACTAAAAACACTAAACTTAGATTAGCCGTATCTCTTCTGTAATACCGAGGGGAGAAAGGGGAGAGGGGAGGAGAGGGTTGACGTGAAAACTTACTTATTTCACTGGAAACCTGGTTCAGTTTCTCCTGCGATCTGCTGATGAGGACAACCTTCATCCCGCATTTTGCCAACTGACGGAAAAACAAAAGAGAGGGCAAACGGTGGAATCAGGCATATGTAGTTCATTTTAAACAGAAATTTGATACATCACAACTTAAGAAACCCAAACCATACCATAACACAAAGTGAAAGAGGAGAAAACACTGCAATATAATGAATGAACAATTCAAGCTGAAGACTTGGTGGAAAGAACTCCCTTTCCTTAGGTAGCAAAAGGAATCCTTTCCAAAGGTTCTATAAGAAATTTTATTTTATACTTCATTTTAGAAGTTTCATCTGTATACTATTTCAGTTTTTAAAACAAGCTATTACTTCTGAAACTAAAAATCAATCCTATAAAGGTTTATTTGTTTCTGACTGAATATAGGAAGATCAGAGGACTGGTAAATTTTCTCTTAACATGTCAGGAGTTCCTGGGGCCACAATGATAGTACAATAGAGAGGATGTTTGCTTTGCACTGCATGTAGCCAACTGGTTTGATCCCCAGCATCCCATATGATTCCCCCCGCCCCCAGCACCTTCAGGAGTAATTCCTGTCTACAGAGCCAAGGGAACCCCTGAGCATCACTAGGTGTGACCCAATCCCCTCATGCCCCCCAAAATGTCAGGAATTCTTGGGACTGGAGAGACAATACAGCAGGTTGGGTGCTTGTTTTATATGCGGCTAATCCAGATTCAATCCCCAGCACCCCATATGGTCTCCCAAATCCCACCAGGAGTGATTCCTGAGTGCAGAGCCAGGAGTAAGACCTGAGCACAGACAGACATGGCCCAAACACCACCCTCAACCACAAAAAAAAAAAGAAAAATTGTAATAATACACTAAATTAACATACTATAATATCAAGAAAGAACCTAGAAATCCATACTGAGAGCTTAAAAAAATTATCAGAGGAGGAAGAGGAAGGAAAAGCTCTTATAGAAAAATAGCATCTAATAAAAGTAGAAACAAAAACAACATCTAAATACTCTTTTAATCACATGCTCATAATTAATTTAGGCAAAATTATCAGTTGGTGGTACCTCTCCTGTATGAGAGACTGTTGGGGAAAGATAATATCCATCCACTCTTGAGGTGACCCCCCCCAAAGAGATCCAATTAATTACAGAGGGAAATGGGTTGCTTCTATAATGGGCATCTTAATAAGATAGTCTTGGGGCCAGAGAAATAGTACAGCGGGCAGGGCGTTTTTCTTGCATGCAGCAAACCCAACTTTGACCCCTGTCATCCTATATGGTCCCCCAAGCACCAACAAGAGTATCTCCTGGGCAAAGGGCCAGGAGTAACCCTGGGCATTGATGGGTGTGGTCCCAAAACAAAACAAAAAAGCAAAAACTCAGCATCTTAATAAAAGATTGTTTTCTCAATATAAGTGGAAAAATGAACTTCTTGTACCTCCTGATGATAAAACTTAGAAGGAGACAAATACCTGTCACATTCCTGCCAAAGCAAGGTGAATATGAGTCTAATCAGGAGGAAACAATCAGATAAACCCAAGTGAAGAGAATTTCTGAAACCAACTGCCTGTGTTGGGGTGGGGGGTGGGGGAAACAGAGGAGCTCTTCTAGTCAAGAGATAATAACAAAATACGAATCATAAAACCCTGTATTGAACAGTGGATCAAAAGAGGTGTCACAAAAGATGTTGCTGGGTTAATTCAAGTTAAGAACAGGGAAATGTTTACTGCCAATTACTTATGGCTTTTCTGTACTTTCTGATACTGAAAAATGAGGGGACATGAAGGAAGAATTGTTTGTGTGTGTGTTTAAACACTTCAGGAACGATAGAGCAGTCAGTGGAGCCGCCTGCTCTTCATCATAACTGAGCAGTGTCCCAGGCGTGAGACCTTCTTGGCCCTAGGAGGCAGAGCAGGACATGCCGAAGAGCACTGTGATGAAGGTCAGGGAGATGGTTACAGGGGTTAAGACACATCCCTTACTTGTGCCCGGCATGATTTGACCTCCTAGAACACACTGTCCCCTGAGCACTGCCAGGTGTGATCCAGAAGGTCCCCAAGTACTGCTGGGGCGGGGGATTGAGAGCGCAGGGGGGGATGACCCAGGTGGTCATGGGCACAAGAGGGTCTGGGCAGCACACTTTAGGCCCTAGCAGGGAACTGTCTGGGTGAGTGGGTGGAAAGTCGCAGGGACTGGCTTCCCCAATCCCTGAATACTATACCACTTGGGAGGCCAAGGATAAGAGTACTGGACAGACAGGTGAGGTGTTTGCCGGGCATGCGGCCAACCCAGGTTCGATCCCTGGTATCCCCTGTGGTCCCCAGAGCACACCAGGAATAATACCCCAGGAATAATACCTGAGTGCAGAGCCAGGAGTAAATCCCTGAGCATCGCCAGGTGTGGCCCAAAGAAAAAACCCAAAGTAGTATAACACTAGTAGTAGTAGTAGTAGTAGTAGTAGTAGTAGTAGTAGTAGTAGTAGTACTGTTAGGGGGAGGGATGTGGCTCTGAGGTAGAGACATGCCTCGCAGGAGGCCCCAGCTGGATTCCCACCTGCCCAACAAAAGGAGAACATTGCCAAGATTCCCCCTATGGATAATGGTCTACAAACCATCAATCCTTCCCATCATCGCAGGACTAAGAATGTCTATCTTTCGCTTGTGCCTCAGTAACAGTATATGTCCTTTTGGAAATGGTTCAAAAGCAATTTGAAAAAGAACTAGCTATATACATTTAATATAAAACTAAATTACACAAAATTCTTCATCATTCCAACTAATGGAGAAATTACTATCCTTGTTTTGCATAAAAATTTGCTTCAAATTATACTTTGGTAATCATGGCATTTCTGACAAGACAGAAACAATGTACAACTACTGAGCAATATACAACATTCACTTACATTTTTTCAATTTAAAATCAAAACTACTGTAAACAATTATTCCTTGTTCTTATATTTTTAACACCAAAAGTCTTTGAAAATTACTTACCTCCTCTGCATATGATTTTCCAATTCCATCAGTACTACCTGTGACAACTGAGAAAAGAAAAAAAAAGTTTAGTTTGAAAATAATTAATGAAATCTAATAAAGCTAATAAAGGCTCACCAATGATAACTAAGGGAATTTATATATTTGGATGTAGAACCCAGAGCAATCCAAGTAGTTTAAGATTCAAGAAATACCCCAGACAACAGGTAAAATTAAAGGCCACACTGCCAAGTGTCATCAGGAATGTCTCACCAGCAATCGTTTTGGAAAAAGTACTGAAGACTGTGTCCAGCACTAAACACAGGCTTACGACATCACCTAGTGATTGTCAAGAGGTAGGTCTGTACAACCACCACCAAGAGATCGTCCAGGTATAAATAACTTCTTAATGCATAGAGAGGTTCCATTCCCACATAAATATCCATGGTGAATAAACAACTAAAAGGAGGCAAACTCATACAGTCGGTCCATTTTTCTTTGGCAGAACTAGGGATACTGGGAAAAGCATATAAGCCATTAGGGCACGTGTCTGGTAAGCGCCCAAGCCAGATTCAATCAGGCACCACAAGGTGCTTGGAGCATCAATGAGTGCAGCCCAGGGCACCCCTGCCCCCCCAGTACAGCCAGGTATCAGTTTCGTGAAAAGTACTACATAGCAAACTTTGGGAAGCACCATACCCTTGTTCAAAAGACAGCTTGCTTGACTGGGAATCACTTAGTGGGACCCCTGGGCTCTCAAGCATCCTGGGAGCATCCCCGCTCCCCCCCAAAAACCCAAACCAGAACTAGAGGTACAGGCAATGCATGAACACATCTTCTAGGCATCATATAGATAGATGTATATAGACCATATTGATGCATCTGAATTGTTACACTTCCATTCATGAAGTTCGATAAAAGGCAAAATTAATCAATGATGACAGAGTCAACTGGTTCGGTTCCATCTGGAAAAAGGGGAGGAACATAAAGAGAGCTTTGGGGTAGAAGAAACAGTCTCTATTTTGGTGAACATTTGTAAAAAAAAAAATCATAAAAATGCTAGCTCAATTAAATCTACACCTTATGTTATACCTGAATAAACTTTTTTTTTTAAATAATAGGTACTAGGAAGAAATGAAATAAGATCTATTTCTTCTACAACCTCAAAAACCGTAATGCAGGGCCAAACAAACAGTACAGAGGGTAAGGCTCTTGCCAGGCGGTGCACGCAGCCAACCCAATTTGACCCCTGGCACCATATGGCCCGAAGCACCACCAGGCATGATCCCTGAGCACAGAACCAGAAGTACAGCTGGGTGTGGCCCAGAAACAAAGTTACTGCAGTAGAAACAGTTGAAAATTTGGGTGGGCAATAGGATAGGGGCATAAGGTTCTTGCCTTGCATGTGGTCAACCCAGGTTGGATCCCTGGCATCCTATATGCTCCCACGAGCACCACCAGGAGAGATTTTCTGAGCGCAAAACCAGGAGAAATGCCTGAACACCACTGGGCGAGGCCCAAACCACCCTTCCAAATAAAAAAAAAAAAGCCAAAAGAGACAACTGAAAATTGTTCAGGCTACATCATGATATCCCTGAAATACTACTCATGTTAATTAAAATTCCTAATATGGTTATGAATATTATGGCTCTAAAAGGTTAGGGATGACCCCAAACTTCTTCGGAAGTTTTTACAAATGTTTTACAGGCTACGGAAAACAAGCTACGGTGTAAAGGATTATTTTCCTATATTTATCCTCAAACCACTTTCCATTTATAGAATACGGCACCTACTTCTATTCAGAATATGCCAAACATTTGCTGATTTTTTTTGAGCACCAGTTTTCAGTCTCAGGATTTTCATCATGTTCCTGCTCAGTCTTCATTGTTCCAGAATTTAAAGAGTCAAACACTCAGAATTAATGAGAACACTGTAATAAAATCCCAAATACCCAAGGCCCAATTTGATCAAGCAGAGTTGAACCTCATTTCACCAATACTCCCACCTCTTCCTTCCGAGATTATTCTGCAGAGAACCTCAAACATTACATCACTTCATTCATAAATATCAGCATGTATCTAATTTCTGAGACAGAGTTAACAATCCCTTGGTATCAAATTTATCTAATCAGTAGATAAGCTTCCTCAAATATTTCCCCAAATAACATGTTTGAATCCAGATTCAATAAATTCCATATTTAAAGCTGGTTCACATGGTGAATATTAACTACATTGTACTGTATAAGTTCCTGCTATCTACTTTTATTCATCTTTTCATCTCTATTACTATCTATCTGTCTCTGTCTCTCAGTCTCTCTCCCTCCCCCTCTCTCTCCCTTCTCCAGGCTGCTTCCGTTTTTATCCCTTTTATTTACTAAAATAATAAGTTCTAAGTTGAAACCTTCCAAGTCAGACACTGTGATTACATCTCCCTGGTGTCTTTTAGTACCCTAGAGGTGAGTGATAGATGGTTGACCAAATTCAGGCTGAAGGCAGTGTTTTGTTTGTTTGTTTGTTTGTTTGCTGTTGAGTGATACTAGTTATCTTTTTTTTTTTATTGGGGGGGATATAAACAGTCATTGGCTGATCACTGCCAAGATACACTGTTTCGGGGCTGGAGCGATAGCACAGTCGGTAGGGCATTTGCCTTGCATGCGGCCGACCCTGGTTCAATTCCCAGCATCCCATATGGTCCCCTGAGCACCACCAGGAGTGATTCCTGAGACCAAAGCCAGGAGCAACCCCTGTGCATCACCAGGTGTGACCCAAAAAGGAAAAAAAAAAAGATATACTGTTTCACTGGGTTTTCAATGAAATTGCAAAATATTGTCATTAGCATCTTCTCTTTCCATCTTCATTTATTAAATTCTGGAACATTTCTATAGAGAAATCAGCTCTTTTGGTGACAATGATAGGTTCGCATTGGGAAACCAAGACAAATATTCAATTCTTCCTCCCCCTCACCCCACTTCATTTACTAGTTTTAAAGATAACTTTAAAACTGGTGCCTTGATATTTCCCAAAGGTACAACGATAACTGTGGTCTTGTTTATAAGAAACATTATCAAATCCTAGACCCTAACAGTTGTGGCTGAACCATCCATATGGGATTCCATTTCGGATGAAACCTCAACCCCACATCCACTGAACGGTGCTTGTCATCTCCTGCGGGAGGCAAAGAGCTCAAGTTTCCTTCTGTATTCCTGCTACTGACTCCCACAAAGGTTTCATCCAGGGAGGACTGACGCTCTCATTGTGGCCAGTCCTCTCTTTTGCCTTGCAAGGGTCCACCCACTCAGCTCTTCAGACCACTTCCAGCGAGAGGCCCCTTTCTCTCTTCCAAACACCCATATTTTCCTACACACCTCACCCTCTCCTTTGAGTTGTACTTAATTATGTCTGAAAAAATCAGATCCCCGGTACTAGCTATGTGATGTGTGGAAGGTGTGCTGAATACTCTGTCAGAATGAATAAATGCTAGCTAACATTTAAGTCCGTCTCCAAGCAGCAAAGTAGAGCAAGGCAGAGACACAAGGGCCAGAGACACAGTACAAGGGTTAAGACACTTGCCTTGCCTGTGGTAGCTCCCGGTCAGATCCCCAGTACTGCATATGGTCCCCTGAGCATTGCCAGGAAACAGCACGGAACAGAGTCGGGAGTAAGCCCTGAATACCACCAGGTGTGACCCCAAAACACCCCCCAAAACAGAGTCGCAGGCTGCACTCCCTAGAACCTTCCTCCCTCTCCTACGCTGATGTGTATCTGCCACTGGTCTACCTGTATTACAGAGCTTTTGATGCCAGATTGTTGTTTACCTGGCTGACTTCTATAAAGGAGGGAAATCTTCCCTAGGATTACAGTCAGGAATCAACTGCAATGTCAGACTTCTCAGAAGAGACATTTTAAAACTTTCTTAATAAGAAAATGTTTGAAAACAAAACTGTAATAAAGTCACTCCATATTATGCCACAAGGGCTGGAGAGATTGTACAGTGAGTAAGGGATTTGCCTTGCATGTGGTCAACCCAAGTTTGACCCCCAGCCTCCTCTATGGTCCCCTGAGCACCACCAGGAATGATTTTTGAAGGCAGAGACAGGAGTAACCCCTAAGCACTGCTGGGTATGATCCAACCCCCCCCCCACACACACACACACACAATGAATTTCTGGAGTAACATATAATGCTTCAAGAATTTTTATTTTTATTTATTTATTTTTTCTTTTTGGGTCACACCCGGCAATGCACAGGGGTTATTCCTGGCTCTGCACTCAGGAATTACTCCTGGCAGCGCTCAGGGGACCATATGGGATGCTGGGAATCAAACTCAGGTCGGCTGCATGCAAGGCAAATGCCCTACCCGCTGTGCTATTGCTCCAGCTCCAAGAATTTTTAATCTGGTTCACGTAGCTAATTCAGAAGAATAAAGACCATGCATGTGCATCCATGTATATGTGTGGATGTGCATGTTAAAGGGCTAGCCCTAGCTGTTCACAGTCCGTCCCAGCAGAGCCATCTCATTCTCATTCTCTGCATTTTCAGAGAAGCTTTCCACGAGATAAAACACTAGAAATATTGTTACTTGGTCATTTTAGGACGGAATGTTTCCCAAGATTACTCTTAAACATATTACACTAATGCAGACGATCTTAGTTTGAGAATTAGATGCTAAACACATTTCTGAAATAGATTCGCCTTTATACTCCCAGCAAGGATCTTTTTCCTGATCATCACCAGCGCTATCAAATTTAAATCAAGCAGGCTTTAGAACTATTAGGTGCATCCATTGCTCAGGAGAATCCACTGTGGACATCAAGTACCTTATGAATCACCCACCTCCTGGTAAGGATTTTAAATATTAAGAAGAAACAATCTGACTTTAAATTGCATGAATATTAAAAATTTAGCCTCTGATCTTTTTGGATGGATAAAAGTATCTTCCATATTTAATGCTTCTCAAAAGTCTCACTTTTCATAATTACTTATATGCTAAATATTATCTCACATGGATATTTCTGAGAAAACAGGAAATGATTTTTATGAGCCCAAGAAATGAACACAACTAAAAGTCT